GGGGCGGGCCCCAGCCATTTAAATTTAAATGAAGCCGCGATTATTTTAATCGCGGCTTCATTTCCCTTTTCCGATCTGGCTAATCTACATGCCTCCGTCGAAGGAGGCATGTAGTCTAGACACACCCTTATTGCAATAGTTAACACTTTATTTTTAATGTTTACAATTACAGTGGTTTGGAAACATTGTGACCATGGATTGGTGGGACGACTTGTGGCTAAATGAAGGATTTGCTAGTTTCTTTGAGTACCTTGGAGTAAATGCTGCAGAAAGTGATTGGCAAATGGTAATTATTCTGTACTATGTTTTTCATTTTGTAATTGAGTCAATATTAAAATCATGTTATAGATACTGAAAACTAAGAGACACAATGGATACACATACACTTAATTATTGTAGTGTGCAGACAGAAAGAGAAAAGAAATGTGAATAAATGGGCTTATATAGTTGTATAGCACCTCTAATGGTTGGCCTGTATAAACACTTGGCTTGGTTTCTAAATTGTCTTGGTAACCAGGTTTTGATCTGAAACTAGTCTGAAAGTTCTGCTACTCTAAAGGTTATAATGTTTTGACAAGTGAGTAAAATACTAGTTTGTCACTGTTATAAAGAATCAATAAGGCCATGTCTACACTACAGAGAAAATCAAAGCTGCCGCAGTCAGTCTTCTGGGGTTCAAATTAGCTGGTCTAGTGAACACACACTAATTTGAACTGAGGGGATGCTCCTGTCAACGCCGGTATTCCTGCTCCTATGAAGAGTGAGGGAAGTTGAAGGGAGAGTGTGCTCCTGTCGACTTCCTGCAGTGTGGACTGTACCAAAATTCGATTTATGATACTTTGACTCTAGCTATGCAATTAATGTAGCTAGAGTTGCGTATCTTAATTTGAAATTCTCCCCTAATGGAGACCTAGCCATAGCAAATTCTGAGCCTGGACGTGGTGATTTTGCAAGGTGGCAATATGTCTTAGCCCTCAAGTCCTCAAGAGAGCCTTCTTATATTTATTCAGAAGAGCTGAATTGTCTGGTTCTGTTTTGTTTTGTGTGGATACAGAACCACGATCCAACATGGAAGTCTGGTGGATTAGCAAGTGGGGATTTCTAGTTTTGTTTCCAGATTAGAAGGGGGAAATGATTTTTCCAGCAGCAGATCCTGCAAGTGTTTTCAACACTATTCCATAGTACAGTACCATGCTCAGAAGAGGTCTAATCAAAATCATGTTTAAAACACTGGTGACCACAGGTGTCTGGCCTAAAATGCCCAACATTGCTTACAGTGGAGCTGAACTAATCAGTTCACTTTAAGATTCTGCAAAAAAAGGAAACCAGGTGCTTATATATTAACATTTTACACACTGAAGACTAATCACTGCTTGTATTAATCAGGTGATTTTGTTGTCTGCCAAAAACAGATTTCATGGCCCATATCTACCAAATTAATATGAGACTTTATAGACAAATGCTAATCACTGGCACATATACATTAGCAGTGACTAGACCATATCTGATGCTCCAGAACAAAACCAAAAATATTATGCATCTTTTCATTCATGCAATACAGTGCTCTACATAAGAGGCGAAATCCTTCTACCTTGTATTAATCACCTTCTATCCTGAAGTATGAAATTCCATTCGTCTTATTTAGCATATATAACTACATGTTATTGATCATGAACTTATGTAGCCCTTTTAAAATCTAGATTTTGTTTAAGGCATAGAGCTGTGGTTCTCAACTGTTCTGGCCTACGGTCCACCCCACTCATTGCTGACCTTTCTGTGGACCGTCAGTCAACCACCTGTGATGACAAAATGGGTGCATGATGGGGTGTGGAAGTGGGGTCTGGTTGAGAGGCTGGCTGTAGGATGGGAGTCGGGGGGAGGGAGGGAAAATGGGTGGAAGATAGGATGCAAGATTTGGCTGGGGATGGAGATCTGCCCAGAAGGTTGGGCACAGGAGCAGGCTGAGGTGTTTGGGTGGGAGGTAGGGTGCAGGAATGGGGCAGGTTTGTGGTTTCTGCTCTCAAACACTACCCCCAGCTGCTCCCCTCGGCTGTGATTTTGGAAAGCCTCCAGGTGAGTAGTTTCCTGCGCTGCCATTTCCCCAGCTGAGGATAGGGGGAGCAGCAGTGCATGGATCTGCTTCCTTTCCCAACAAGCCAGATCCGACCTGCGAGGCTCAGGCCCTGCCTCATAGTGGGAAGCTGGTGCTGGTGTTCCAACCTTGTGTGGGAAGGGGCTGCGGAGCTGGAATGCCAGTACTGGTTCTCCGCTGCAGTACGGTGGGGTGAGCTGCAAGCCCACGGATCATCTGCAAGACTGTTGCAGACCACTGGTGGTCCATGGACCACACCTTGAGAACCATAGGTATAGAGCTATGTACCAATGAATGGAAAAACAGAAGATTATCATCAAACTTTAGTTTCACTCATCCATTCATCAAGAATAAAATGAATATGGACCACAAGTTACTGAATCTCTCAAAAGAAAAAAAAATCAGACACAGCACCTCGAGAAACCCTACCTACTCCTCAACCTGATCTCCATATATTCATCTGTGCTATGTCTCAAAGAAGAAATTGGGTTTTGTGATGCACACGTGTGCAAACTGGATTCTGTGAGAGATAGTGTATTGTAGCCAACGGAAAATGTCCCCATCTTAGAAATATAATGCTCGTGATATAATTATAATTATTCTGAATATATTCAGAATATAATTATTCTGTAGAGCAAATGAAGTTTCATTCTGTATTCCTCTTCCACCACATCAAAGGCAGGTCTGAAACTTTCTTTAAAGTTATAAACTACTTGTTCTTGGAATTAGAATTAGAGTTCTGATTTTGTTTTTGTTTTAATGTTTCCTTTTTACCAGCTTGATCAGATGTTAATTGACGACGTGCTGCCTGTGTTGAAGGAAGACTCCTTGCAGTCTTCCCACCCTATTGTGGTCAGTGTGTCATCTCCCGCTGAAATAACATCCGTTTTTGACGGCATATCATACAGCAAGGTGAGCTATGGCATTATAACGTTAACTATGACAAAGGGCATTTAAAGGGGGAGACAAAGGGGAGACAAAAAAGACAGTGGAGCCTAATCAAAATCAGCCTATGTCTGCACTAGTTTTATTTTTTTTTCCAAAAAATTTGCCTTAGTTGAGGTTACAGCAACTGCAAGAACAATCCTTTAGTCAGGGCTCCAGATAGCCATTGGTATTCTGTGCCATCTAAGCATGCTCACAGCATGTGTACAACTGTGGGGATTAAAATGTTGGCAGTCTCTAGCACTGTCCTCACTAGAGTTCCTATTGTATATGACAGAGTTACACTAGATCCAGCACAGTGGTCACTAACCAGTAGACAGTGATCTACTGGTAGATCTTGGCGCCTCTGACAGGTGATCTTGACTATTTTGGCTGGGAAGCTATCAAGCACTGGCACTTCAGTTGCCTCTTTAACCACTGTCATTCTGCTCCTGCCCTCTGCCCTGGAGCTGCCCCCCGGAGAGCCTCCTGCTTGCTGTGCAGAGTGTGGGAGGGAGAAAAGGCAGGGTGCTGATGTCAGGGTGTCCCTCCTTTCCCCACTCCTGTACCCCATCTCCACACATTGAAAAGGGGATGGAGGGAGCTTGGCAAATCTCTGTCACTCTCACACACTGTGTGTGTGTCTGTCATTCTCACAAACACATACTGTCCTTCACTCTCATCTCCCGACCCAACATATACATGAGTTGTTGTTGTTACTTCTTTTACTGCTTGCAAAGTGGGTTATTTTGGGTTTTTGACTGGTCTGTGCATTTCATAATTTTCATTTCTCTCCTACGCTTAAATTTAATACTTTGAGTAATGAGTTCTCAAATGCCTAACCTGTCGTGTCTGGAGTAATTGTCTTTATGGTAATTGCTGCTCCTGGACATGTCTGGCATGTCCCTGCAACCCCTCAGAAAGGCATAGCAGGGTCTCCCCACATGCTGTCCTTGCCTGCAGCTCCTGCTCCTGCAGCTCCTGCTCCTGCAGCTCCCATTGATCAGTAATAGGGAACCATGGCCAGTAGAAGCTGTGGGCTCAGTGCCTGTAGATGAGGGGCAGCACATGGCACCATGGAGGCACTGCTGTACAGGAGTGGTGCAGGGCCAGGGCCTTAAGCCTGCCTTAACCCCACTGCTCCACCACCCAGAAGCTCTCAGTTAAATGGTGCCCAGATGCTTCCTGAACCCTTGTCCTGAACTTCCTCCTGCACCAAACTTCCCTCCCCAGATGTGAGGCCCCCTGCACCCAAGCACCCTGAAATGCCTCCCGGACCCCCAAACCTGGAGCCCCTGCCATATGCCGAATCCTTTGGCTCAAGACCAGAGTCTGCACCCCAAACCCTCTACCCTAGCCTGGTGAAAGTGAGTGAGGACAGGAGATGAAGGAGGACGGAGTGAGCAGGGTGAGGCCTCAGAGAAGGGGCAGGAAGGAAGCGGGGCAAGGGTATTTGGATTCGAGTAGATCTTACATTGCACTTCAATTGAAAAAGTGATCTTGTGGTTATAAACATTGGAGACCACTGATCTAGCATGTCTAATCAGACTGGTGGTGATAACAGCAGCCCTCAGTCCATCTAAGTAAGGGCATCTAATGTTGCTGAAGCAGTGTTAATGACCATGGGAATTTTTAAAGACAGGGAAACTGCTTTTAGTGGGACTACTTGTAGGAGAGAGACAAGGCCTGGGAGCCTTTTACAGCAAAATGTTCCTGCCAGTTACTAGTTTTAGTGACTCCACAGTTAAAGTTGTTTTGAGATTCCCACTTTAATTATTACCCTCCATTTTCCCTCCCAGTTTAATTTTACAGTTTAATCAATTACATCTTCAGATGACATTTGATACTGTTTAAAGTTTTTAGAGAAAATATTTTAAAGGAGTTATTTTTGAAGTAGTCATGAGAGTCTCAGCATTTCTGAACCTTGTGGGTAAAAGCATCAAAACATCCCAATTAATTTGGCCCAAATGAGAGAAGTTATGTGAACAACTTGGGTTTATGTGGAAACAATTGGTTTACATTACTTGTATTCTTCTACTCTACTGTGTCACAACTTCAAGGGGACTACAAAAAGAAGTGAGGAACTTTGTGAGAAACACAATTCTACATTGTTTATTAAAGTGGCTGTATAGTCCTTGTAATTAAAATCAGTTCTGAAGTTTGTCAGCCTCTCCAGTTTTTATAACAAAGCTATTTTTGCATTGGAAAAGAGTCATCTACTGGCCAGATTCAAAAGTGCAACAATAAATTGGAAGAGAAACTCTCCAAACTAGGGGCTCTAGGTCAGTGGTTCCCAAACTTTTTGGCATCAGACCCCCCTTATAGATTTTTGACAAACCCTCACGGTCCCGTCCCCCCCAAATAACAGCAAAACTTGTTGAGCAAAAAAAAAAAAAAAAATAGCAGCACAACTGGGGTGAGGGGTGGGGGATTTACAGGGTGGACTGGGTTGCATTGTGCCCCCCCTGGAATTTCTTCATGCCCCCCCCCAGGGTGGCATGCGTCCCAGTTTAGGAACCCATGCTCTAGGGGATCTACTGCTGTTTTTAACCACTACTCTGCATCAAAGCACTCTATGGAACTTTTAGTGCATGGTAACACAGTCCACATGGCCAGTAAACATGCAGCAAGTTAGTGTACTGTATATTCACACCCTGCTTGCTGCACACAAAGTCTTAGTGTAGATAAGTCCTAAGTCTACTTCATGTTAACAACCAGTCTGGTGTGACTCTGGTGTGATCAAATAGAACACACCTAGTAATATAAACAATGGATTAGTAATCCTAGTAATATAAACAATAGATTCAAGGCCTGAGGACTGACATGAATTCCTAATCTCATGAGACAGTGATAGTTTAAAAAAACAGTTCAAAATATTTATTTCAACAATCCTATTTTTAAATTTTTAAATAAAATGTATTAACTTTGAAGTTGTAGGTTGGGTTTTTTTAAAAAAAAATTTGTTTCCCTCTTTCTGTGTCTCCCCCTTTTTTTCTCTTCCACTTGTCTATTATTTCTTCTCTCTATTTATTTCCCCTCATCTTCCTTGGCGTCATTCGCTACCCTCTTCTTTTTCAAGGCCGCTATCTCACTTTTTTCTCCTTCTGGCCACCCAAGATCCTAAGCCTGTTACAAGATCACAGAGCCCATCAACCATCTTCAGAGGCTGGTATTTTTATGCCAGGTCAGCATTCCAGAATAATTTAAGCCTTTACTAGAGTCAATGTACAATGTAAAACTGTAGATTTACAGTATTTAAAGGCTCCCAATTCAGTGAAAGTCTCAGTTCTGAAGTCATGCAGGAGTGTGAGGCTGTCTCTAGACTACACCTACCTCTCTGTCAACAGAGAGATGTAAATTAGGCACCTCAAAATTGCTAATGAAGCAGAGATTTAAATATCCTGCACTTCATTAGCATAAACATGGCCTCTGCTTTTTCTCGAAACGGAGCTTTTTCGAAAAAAAATGTCAGTCTAGACGGGTATCTGTTGAAAAATAAACCCTTTTTTGACAGATCCTGTAAACCTCCTTTTTTGAGGAATACAGGATCTGTTGAAAAAGGGTTTATTTTTCAACAGATACCCGTCTAGACTGACATTTTTTTTCGAAAAAGCTCCGTTTCGAGAAAAAGCAGAGGCCATGTTTATGCTAATGAAGTGCAGGATATTTAAATCTCTGCTTCATTAGCAATTCTGATATGCCTAATCTACATCACTCTGTCAATAGAGAGGTGTAGTCTAGATGTACCCTAAGTGTTGGAGAAAGAGTGAGTGAGTGTGTGTGTGTGTGTGTGTGTGTGTGTGTGAGAGAGAGAGAAAGAACGCTTTGCAGAAATAAATAACTATATTTTTATCCACATATATTACTTCTATTTTTTGATGCAATATTCACTCTACTGAAGTATTTTAAAGTAAAGAGAATCTAGTTTTAAAAAGGTAGGAAATGACCTTGTCCCCTTTCTTTTTGTACATAGGGAGCATCAATTCTCAGAATGCTTCAAGACTGGATTACACCAACAAATTTTCAAAAAGGATGCCAGGTATGAACAACAGTAGAACAGGCCAGAAACAAAACAAACCACATGTGGCAAAGGGAAAGATTTTCCTCAGAAAAGTGAATGTGATGCACTCAGGTGTGGTGCTCTCATCAGAACTTTAGATAACTATTTCTGTACTAAAACATATGTTCCTAACAACATTTCTATACGGACATTTACTCCAATTAATCTATATTTTATTTCTTCAGGCTGTAGATACTTCTTCAACCACATCTGAAAAAGCTGTTTATACAATAGGTTATGTGAATTCCCAACATAATGTTACCACTTGGTAATGATATAGGCATTAGGGAACATTTGCAATGGGACTAGGTAGCAATTTTAAGTGACAATTCATACTCAAAATGAGTTGGAATTTGAACTGTAGTGTTGTATGTATATTTGAAGGCCAGCCAGTGATGACCCTAGACACATGATATGTAACAGTACCTTTCAGATTCTTTCTTATTCTATTCCCATCCTCTTTATCAGTAGTAACTAGAACCTAGTCACCCAGCTACCAAAGCACTCCTGCATCTTCCTAACAACAAGTACCTCCAGACCACTCAGTTGTGCTATGCTGTTTATGGAAATCTACCTGAAGGCTTTATAAATCTTGATTCGCTGACCTGACACCTGGAAAACTTGAAGCTAGTCTTGAGAACATGAAGTTAGTACAACTCCTTCTCAGAGCACCTAGGGAAGTCAGGACCTGAAAATAGTTGCTCTACATCTATCAATCCATATGCATGATGCTAACTAAGAAGCACTTGCCCTGGGGAGTTGAGGTGGGGTGAGAGGAGGGACCTCTCCTTTAATTTAACCCTACCAAGAATTTAGGACACAATTTTAGGATACATGCCAACTGCTATACACAATAAGAGAGAAAATTGGAGATTTTGGAGTCTTCAACAACAGAGTACATTACATAAGAACATAAGAACGGCCGTACTGGGTCAGACCAAAGGTCCATCTAGCCCAGTATCCTGTCTGCCGACAGTGGCCAGCGCCAGGTACAGAGGTCAGGGACACCAATTCTATCCCCTGGCTAAGAACCTTTTATGGACCTAACCTCCATGAAATTATCTAGCTTCTCTTTAAGCTCTGTTATAGTCCTAGCCTTCACAGCCTCCTCTGGCAAGGAGTTCCACAGGTTGATTACATGCTGTGTGAAGAAGAACTTTCTTTTATTAGTTTTAAACCTGCTACCCATTAATTTCATTTGGTGTCCTCTAGTTCGTCTATTATGGGAACTAATAAATAACTTTTCTTTATCCGCCCTCTCTACGCCACTCATGATTTTATATACCTCTATCATATCGCCCCTCAGTCTCCTCTTTTCTAAACTGAAAAGTCCCAGTCACTTTAACCTCTCCTCATATGGGACCCGTT